TTTTGGCCTCGTCACTTTGTCAGCTTCGGATGAATTAATTCATTACAAGATATTATTAGAAGACAAAGAAAATAACACAGACGCATATATGTACATGGTAGATTGAGATGGTCCCCCACATCTGGTGTGCCACCCTTGCTTCCTCCATTTCTCGGGGCCTTTTCATTTGCAAATGGACCCCTCCATTAATTTTCATTGTTTTGGGGAGGGTCTCTTCTTCCCTGTCCTTAGCCACCCACAACACTAAATATTACTTTCTTCGCATCATGTGGTTACTCGTCTTGATTTATTGTTATCGTTTTCATTCTAACCTCCCCGTTTCCATCTTATACCCCATTCATTCACCCACACCTACTTCATCGCCAACTCACCCATCTATCTATTTATTTATTCTTTATTTCTTCATGAATATCCCAATTCACAGCTACTATTTTAATTACCTTTCCTACAGAGACTTGGTGCCCTGTATTTTATTATTTGACTTTATATATATCAAAAGTGTCGCCAATATATACACATATGTGTGTGTGTGTCTCCAAAATAATATTCCCCCTTGCGTGACTCTAAGGGAATAAGACGACGCCTCGTTTAGAATAAGCTGACCTGCACGTATTTACAATTACATGGACTAATAATACCCGGACGCAACTTGTGTTCGATCGTAATATGCGCCATTCATTCTCAATATACGCTTTTGGGGAGAAACGAAAAAAAAAAAGGAGGCTAGATCGTCAATCAAGTTTGCGACTTCGGGAAAAAAAGATTGATTAACATAAGCCCCGATTTTCTGGTTTAAATCTGTTTGTTTGCACGTGGCAGCATGTGGAAGTTTGCTATTTTTTATTTGGCGAAAATGAGGTTAAACGTCTTTTGGCAGATTTATGGTATATATACTTTAAATTCGTATCACATGACATTTCATTTCATCTTTTTCTTTCTTTCTTTCTTTCCTTTTCTGGCTAATATTCCATTACTTCAAATAATGATATTTAAGAGTTTAATTTTGTAAGTCACTCAGCAGCTATACGTGAGTAGCGTGACAGGCGGAGACATCCCCACCATTTTTATAATACAGTGCGTACTGTATCCGAATGAAATGAACTGAACTAAAAAATAAAACAATTGATACTAACAAAGAACCCAATTTTAAAAAACGGCGAGAGGGGCGGGTGTAACCAATTCAAAATAACTGTTGTTCATGATTTGAGGGAATAATTAATTAAATTAGGTAAAAGAATTGGAAACGATTAGCGAATGGTCCAGCCAGGCAATCCCCAAAAGAGATACGGCTGTACTTTGAGATCTCTTTGAAAGAAAATATAGAGAATCGCGGCACATGAAATTATTATTCAGGCGTGATTGTGAATATATCAAGGGAATAAATATAAATATATAAATATATATATATATATATATATATCCGCCGTCCCAAACTCTGCAAATTCTGTAAAAGCCCCACACAAAAAACGGCAATCAAATTGTACCGTATACGCCCAAATCGGGTTAAATACAGTTAGTTATCCGTCGTTCTTAGGCAGATCGTTCGCAGAGAGAAGCGTGATTCACTTAGCCTTTGGTTACTTAATCCGTGATCTGCCCTGGACCACAATGACAGTTTACAAAAGTAAATAACAAAAATGTTTTATTCTATTTTAGATATATAGCTGAAATAAAGAAACGTTTAGCACATAGAATGCTAGAGTATTTCACTTTTCTGAATCAAAGGTAAACGAGCCTTCAAAAGAATGCTGAGGACTTGCGTATAAAAAAGTTTAAATTAATTTACGTGTCTAGTTGGAGTAATTTAGGATGTTGACTGGAGAAAGGTCAGAAAAAGTGGAGAATAAATTTGAAAAAATAAATGCAGAGACAGAAAAAAAAGTACAACCATGCATTTGACAATGTATTAAATTTAGCGTCCAGCTCGAGATTAATCGTAAAGTAGGTTTTGCCCGAGATCTTCTTTGACATGAGAAGATATGGTACAGATGCATGGCGTGAACCTGATCATCAAATTAAAGTCGTTGATCATGCAAAACCTAACCAAACAAATTCATCAAATAGAAATTCAAGCTGCGGCGGAATCTATAAATGGTAATGTTTTATTTGACTTGGAGAACGCCTGCTTAAGTAACAAGCATGTGTGTGCATATTATAATTTGACTAATCTAATCAATTAAAACTTCTTCCACCGGACGGTACACCCCACTATTAACTCCTCCTTCTCATGGATTAAAAAGACCTAATTAATTAACGGCCAACTAAATTTTCTCGGGGTATCAAGAAATGGCCCTTGAAGAAACAAGAAAAAGTGATTGGCTTGAGAAGAGGTTCTTTTAGGATGGCGCGTGTCCTGAAGAAAAGCAATATTGGCGACCCTAACAAGTTTTGTTTTGAGGGTACGGCTTCAAAAGAGAGGTGGGATACATTGTGGAGAACAAGATTTGTGAATATGTATGTATCTTAGCGAGTCGTGATACAGAATGAATCAGTCGAGCGAGAGACTTTCAAATGTTGGTTTGTCCATATGACTGGAACCCACAAAAAGGAAAAAGTGACGGAGGACATACAGAACCCATTGTGGATGAGCTTGAATGAGCAACAAGTGGATGTGGATTGGCTCTACACTACCACTACTATTCCTCCTCCCTCCCAATGTCTCTCATTCCTAGAAGGCCAAAAAAAAAAAAAAGCTTCATTCACAACAAAATTATGGGGTTTTCTATGTCATAACTCCTGCCGGCATTGTGGGTCACCCTCACCTTCACCTTCCTCCTTTAATATTTTCATCTTGTATCAAAACTGATTCACTCAGCACATACTGGTTTCTGGTGGCAACACTTGGTTTTATACTTTTATTTTTAATACATTATTTGTTGACTCATCACCGGCTCCATCGATCCCATATATATCTAGTGGTTAACACTTGAATATATGCATATAGTTTGCGTTACAGTACTATTCGATGTATATTCTGACAGTCTAGCGAGCGGGTGTGATCGATTTAGAGGCAATATAGGTGAGTTCTCAACTAAATTTTGTTCCCTTAAATGTTGCATATTTTATGGAGGCCCACGAGACCTTCGAATATTCCAACTAATCAAAACGTGAAGAACAACACCTAACCCTGCAAACATGCTATATATTTTATGTTTTGCGACTATGCACTGCTCCTGGGTTCATGCACCAAATCTTTTTTTTTTTGGATTACTTTAATGAGTTTTGCTTAAGATTTTGGGATCAATGCAAAGTGAATAGGCTGTGAAGCAAAACTCAAAAGGATGACCCACTCCATCATGTGTGCCCTTAAGGATGCCAGTTGGGGCACCGTGAAAAGTATTGGCGTCTCTATGGAATGGTATAGAGACACCCTTGTCGATCAGTATCACTCTCTAATTTTTCAATGCATACATACTTGCGTATATGTATGTATGTATATTAATTTGTAATTCACAGCATACTGGTCTTACGTCTATACATGTGAGGCTTTAGGCGTACAATTCTCTTACATACCTTTACATATTCTTCCATGAAAGTAAAGCTTTAGGCTTGTAATTCAATTCAAAAGGCTAATTATAAATAAACGAATGGTGAAAGCCGGCACCACTTCGACCCTACAATTTGTCTTCTAATTATCTAGTCAGGGTGTATTTAAATTAGCCAGTGTCACCGATGTAATTAGTGCTTGATCAATATATTATTATAAGCATTTAAACAAATGATGCAACAGTGGCAACATCACTATCTAGCGCATGAAGCAGAAGGAAGAAAATTCTGAAGAGTATGCAGGAACGAAAATAACAGATGATGATAATCCTGCGCTTAGGTCAAAGGCACATAATAATGAGAACGAATCTTCCATCATCAGCAAGAAAGTCTGTAACAAACATCGCTCCTTCTCTCTCTGTTTTTTCTTTTTCTTTTTTTTTTTTTTTGTTAAGGGGAACAAAGTGTGAAACACGAAATGATAAATTTGAGGTGGTTGAGGTCTCAGAAAGAGGATACGCTACGAGTATTATTAGTTGGGTTAATTGGTGGACTCGCCTTTTAGTGAAACAGTTACGAATTCAAGAAGTCATACTTGATGCTTACCAGCACTTCATGTGTCTCACGAACTGCGTTTGTCTGTTTGCCATTTTTTTTTAAAGGTAAAGGGTCACGCTCGATGAGATGGTTACTTGAGAATTTCTCCACGCGGCCTAGCAATAATCTGCAATCTCTTAGCCTCAAGTATTTAAGAGAATCAATGCGATATATGAGATTAAGATCTGTTTATATGATATTAAAATTCCTTCTACCTTCTTTACCATGAATGTTTTATTGTTTGACCCTATTCTGTGATAGGTAAATGACAACAAAGTTAAAAACAAAAAAAAAACTCTATATACTTTTTAATAAAACATAATTTAAAAAATAACTTAAATAGTTACGAGAAACAAGAATATAACAAACAAATGAGTAGGTTAGTTAAATTATTGAAAATAACGTCAAATTTAATTATTATTCTATGAACAACAATAAATATTAAAGCCTACATCAATTCACTCTCCAAGTTAAAAAAATCAATTCATTCTCTACAGAAGGAAATTACAAATAAGGTAAAATTAAAATTTAAAAGCATAAGGGGGAAAAACCAGATATAGATTAGTTGCTTTTTTGGGCCTAATATTGATGAGGTTGACAGGCTGGATACGGATTAAAATCTTGATCCGGCAGCCCAATCAACATAAGTGTGAGTTGCGTTCTTTGACCCAAAAAAATAGGCGCGAGTTACGTTCGGTTTGCAGATCTTTCAACCAACCCAATTCACAGAAACGTATGTGTTGCTCGCACTGGCTTGATTTTTAAGTATAACTCAACCGGAAAAAGAGAGAGAGAGAGAAGGTTCCAACCTATCCGCTTTAAGCTGCAAGTATATGGTTTGTCAACTCACGTAAATCATCAATTTAGATCTTAACAAATTTTTTTCCTATACTCGTATCAAAACCTGGAATGAAAAATGTCAAAACGTGAACCAACTCTTCAAATGCGCGAGGAACATGCGTAATCAAAATACAACATCGCTCCATGATCAATCCGTAATCAACATATTGCCGCTATGAGACAACGTCTAGTCTTGTACATGATAGGCTGATTGCTCTCCATGGCCAAGTTCTCTCTCCTACAGTAATTTATATACTTACCACTCATGTTAGTAACTGCGTTTTACGTAAAGCTGAAGCTTACAAGATCTACCATTTTCCTTCAAGGGAAGCACAAATCCTGGTAAGACAATACCACTCATGTTAGCAACTGCGTTTTACGCAAAGCTGAAGCTTACAAGATCTTCCATTTTCCTTCAAGGGCAGCACAAATCCTAGTAAGACAATACGCAGCACTTAGAGGGTAGCTAGAAACTGCAATCAAGAAAAACAACGTGGTTAGAAACTAATGGATGGTGCATGTCCAATAACTCATCTATGCATCACAAGTCTGTATTTACAACCAAATTTATTTTTAAGGAAAAGAAACAAACGGAATTGTGGGATCTACTCCTGAGATCAAGACATTTAACTAAGTCAAGCCTCAGCACAGCATTCAGTGCTCAAATACACGTTATTTCGGCTAATAGTTCACACCCCTGTATTTTATGGTGGTTAAACTTTGGCTTCAAAAACAAGTTATTATTGTTTTTTTCCCAGTTACATGGAAGATGAAGGGAAATTGGGTTTCTAACCTCAACATTTAATGAAACTCGTAATCAGTGATAACAAAATTTTTCAAGAAAATTTTGAACATTAGCAATAAACTTATGATATTCGCTAGTGATAACAAAATCTTAGAAATACCAAGTCCAGTACGTCAAGGACTAAGGTTCATACATCAATGAACACAGCAATCAGTTGGGAGTTGATGTGCATCAACAGAAGGAAATTAAATGGAATTCAAACTAATATTATATGTACGTATACAACTATGAATAAGAATGGAAAGTAAAAGCGCATAGGTGACTGAGCATACTTGCAATAAATTCATCTGTATAATCTGCCTCAATCTTTCCATGGGCCATTGCACCTACCTGAATTTAGATTTGTCTCAGAAAATTTGTGGGTTGAATAAAAAGTCTGATGAAATTCAAAGAAAATCAGGAGTTGAACTTCTGAGATTACCACAAAGACGGGACTCATATTGGTGGCAATAGTTGACACATAATCATTCATGTCTACCAGCTTTTGTGAGTTGTAGGAGAAACCTGACAAGCAAATTAATTAATAAATTAATAAATGTAAATATTAAACGTTCTTTCGCAAGTGTATCTAACACTAAAGTACTTCTCTTAAGAGTAAAAATTATATCAATACATACAGTTAAACCATTACGGAAACTCACCTATTTTTCGAGAATCTAATGGTAAATGCTGGGTTACAGGGTTTTTGATCACACGGAGAAGTTTCTCACGCTTACCAACAGCAGTTATGCTCAATTTCTGAAGTAATTGCACTGCAAGGAGGTAAATTTTTGGAGCAGCAAGTGAGAGCTATAATCTTCGCAAACAAAGGCAGGTGCAAGAGTCACAATCACAAACACTGGTGCAGTTAAAAAAAATAGCTGAACTCACACATGACGCCAGAGAACCGCTTGAAAGTTCTTGGTATACGAACATGAGGTTTAACCTCAAAGAGAACACCCTTTTCAGTTCTTACATACACAGCTTGCACCCTTCCTGCTTTATTTAGTGGGCTATCCAGAATCATTAGAAGGGCCTGAGAGTATTATTCAATACAATATGAGATAGGATAAAAAAGCGTACAAGACTATCATTGTGGCTTACAAGTCATGAAGCAGAAGTCGAAAGACAGAGACAACGGGCGGAACCAACTTAAATGCGAGCTTGAATAACCGATATAGTACGAGGGGAGAAAAGGCCTTCACAAACCTGATGAACGATGTCGGGCCTGTAATCAGCAGGATTCTTGTTATGTTTACGCAAGAAATTGGCATGGTCGTCCGAATTCAAAATCTGATAACTCTGCAGAAATAAAGCCAGTCAAAAAACATAGATTCAAGGAATGCAATTGAATGTCATTCTATCTGCAAAATAATAGCCAAGATACATGAAAGCCAAAGAGTTCTGGATGTTACCCATAAAAGTGACACCCATATGCAACTCAAATTCAAATTTAAATTCGTATCCATTATACGAAAATAAAAAAAAAAACAGGAAAAAGGAAAAAGGCAAAAAGGAAAACGGAATGAATGCCACAAGCTGGAAGAAAGACAAAAAAATTAGACTGCCAATGAATACCTTGCCAACTTTGGCGACTTCCAAAGAAGCCCTTTCAAGAACAAATATAACCTTAGACTTATCACTGTTGCGGTCACTTGGCGCTATAGGAATACCTTCAAGTTCATCCGCCGCAACCGCGTCTCGTGCTTCTTCGGCAGATTTTTCTTCCTCTAGGGAGTTTGAATCCCCCGTTAAAGCTCTCTTGGCTGCACCCATTGGTTCCGCTTCTTCATCTTCTTCGGGATCGTACTTCTCCTCCTTCCTCTTTCGCTTCCGATCCTTCACACCATAAGGCCGCGTCATTGCTGAAGCTCGTCAACAATGGAAGACCCACTTACTATGAAGCAGAACCAAAATTAAGACAAAACCATGCAACTGAAAGCTGAATGAACGGCGATTTTCGATTCTAATCGGTGACTAGGGTTTGTAGTCCAGAAATTCCAGGAACCTGGCTTTTACTCCCCAGTATTTTCTTTTTTCGTTGATTGGGTGGGCTAAAGGCCCAAGTCGTCCAACCCAAATCAACAATAAATATGATAATTTCACTGTGGTTCATCCACAATTCCTCTTATCCTATTTATAAAATATTTTTTATAAATTTATTTTTAGTTAAAAATATAAAATATTTTATAATAATTAAATTATTTTTTTAATGATCATGAAGATATTTAATAAATTTATATTATTATTTAAAGTTAAAAATAAAAATGTATATCACTCTTTTATAATATCAAAAAAAATTAATTTTTTTAATATATGTAAAAAAATTAAAAATATTCTATAATAAAGATTGAAGGAAATATATATATATATATATATATAATGGGATAAATAATTAAAGCAAGGCAGTGTGAAATATTAGGCTAATGAGACGCCTTAGGCCTCCACAAATATTTACCTATATTCTACATAATTAGTCATTATTTTTCTATTAAACATTAATGTTAATTATATATTTTTATTTAAAAATGAGAGTTTTGCTTAAAAACAAAAAAAAATAGTTATAATCTCAAGTGTCGATTATGTTATGTGTGTTTATTTTTCTTTTACTTTTCATTTGAAATTGTGATTGTTTTTTTCTTTTTGAGAAAATTAACTCAATGGCATCAAAAAATACAACTTTCATAAATTATGTATGAGATTTTTAAATATTTTAAAATATGACCTACTTATAAAGTTAATTAAATGTGTTTCTCTTTTTTTATCCCCAAAATAAAATTATTATTAAAATAGAATGTATTTAATTTAACTAATATTAAACTGATTGGATCTTTTATTTTTATCATTAAAAATCATATCGTGCATGCTCCCTCCCTCATTTATTATCTCTAAATATGTTTTTCATCATATTTTTGGATCTAATTTTTTTGGATTATCATATTCATCTCTCATATTGTGCTTTTCTTCATCAGAATTTTTGATATAATTTGCTTGGATTACCATATTTATCGTAGAGCTTTTTCTCTTTCTCCCTCTCTGTTTTTCCTAGATATTACGAAGAGGACATTAGACATTGAAAATGAAAATCCATTACTAATCTGTGATACTATATCATTTATATACGGCTGTATATCAATAATAAACAAATTGGTAAGTTTTTACTGATATGGCTTATATATTAGTGATATATAATATACTATTATACATCACTAATATACTATAGTAAATCAATATAACCAGACAATTAGACAAAAACTTATTTATAATTGATACACAGTCATATATCAATGACGTAGTATCGCAAATCAGTAAGACAAAAAACACATAATTATTGGCTCAAAATAGATTAAATAAAATCTCAAGAAACCCTTACTTGAACTCTAGCTTTTGTAATAGAGTCCAACCGGACTTCTTTACCTTGAATCTATAACTTTAGTGTGGCTTTGTGTATAAGTTGCAGTTTCAAACTTCCTCACCTCACATTCATGATTTTTCAACCTGAATTTATAACTTCCAGTCTGCCTTGCCTTGCCTTGCATTCATGTGGTCTATTGGGTAAATCTCTAACTCTGTTTATCCATTGGTGTGAGCTGTTTCGTTGTCTACTGTCAATTTCTTCATCATCGTGACTGAGAGTGCAGTGTCATCTCCATGTCCTTGGGTGGGTGAAAGCAAAATCAATGTGAAAAGGGGGAATTAAAATACTGTGATGTTTCAGGATAGTTTTTTTTTTGTATTAAAAATAAATTAGAAAACAACCATTATCTTAATTTAGGAAAGGGTGAGTTATTAGTTTTATTTAGCCATATAATGTTGGCTAAATTTGCTAAAGCCACCTTTTTTAAGGATTTGAAGTGGCAAAAATGTTAAATAGAAAATTCAAATGTGGTTTTAATAAATTAAAAAATATATTAACCATAATATATTAGACTTTTTAAATAATTTTGCCTTAAGTCTTAAAATTTTTTCATAGGGCCCTACATTTGAATCTTGTAAGAAGATGTTTACATTTAATACCAAGCCATGTTTAAAACAATAAAAGAATGATACTTTCACTGAAATTTATTGGCAACAATTTTTAGTCGATATTATTAAGATTAAAATTATATTATCTTTTTTACTAATAGAATGAGGGTCCATTTATTTTAGCTTATTTCATGAGAAAATTACTTATTTTTTTAAAAAAATCTATTATATGAGTTTTTATTATGTTTATTAAAACATTTAAAAATAATTATAATATGAAAAAAGCAAATTTTTAAGTCTAACTTCTTAAAATAATCTAATACAGTAAATGAAATATAATGTTTTAAAAAAGTGGGATATACAAAACTATCATAAAATTTTAAAATAATATAATAATAAATTATTTGTATAAAACACAAATCAAGAAAAATATTATAAAATTTAAAATCTCTTTTTATTATTATTTGTATAAAACTAATAGTCACTTTTTTATTATTGCAACTAAACATAACATATTATTTATTTTTTATAAAATCTCTACAAAATAATTTTTTTATACAATTTTTAAATTATTTAAAAAATTACTTTTTTTATTTTAAAAAACGAGCCTTGAGTCTAATAGAAGAAGTTGATTTTCACTATTTGGCAAGCTAATATCTGGATTCTCTCTAGAAAAAGTTTTCATATTTAATATTCCACCATACTTGCTTCAAATAAGAGGGCAACTATACCCAATGAAAAATTATATGATCTTTTTTATTGATAAATAGACTCTTAAAACCATGGTTAATTAATTTTTATCCATTTATCAAACATTATTTTTCATATTAGTGGAACTTCATTGACACGTCAATTATAAAATTTTATAAACTTAGACCTAGAAACTATATTTTCAAAAATATATATTATCATGCATATGGAGTTTTAAAAACTATATCTCTTTACTATAAAAAAAGTTCAAATATACTCCATTCATTTAAAAATATAAGGTAATTTTTGAAGAGTTAAATGTTAAAAAATATAAAGCATTTTAAACATTTCAAGATATAATCATTGCCTTTTTTTTTCAAGTACCCCTAATAAATAAATCACTTTATATTTAGTTTAGAGCAAATCATCTTATTAAATAAGGGTATACATAAAAATAGTGTTAGTTTAAAAATAAGTGATTACTTTTATTAAGGGGTGAGATTCAATTAAAAATACCTTATATTCTTCAATAAAGGAAGTACAAAACTTTTCTAAACTTTAAATTAACTGAATAAAACTTTCCTCGCTTTTATAAGTTTAAAATTAACCCCCCAATTTTTTTTAAACTATGGACTTTCTTATTAGTATTTTTCAATTATCCTACTAGTAGAAATTGTCATATCATATTAAAAAATGACACGTAGCAACTTGTAACCTCCTAATTTTTTAGCCTTATTTATTTTCTCAAGCATAATAATTATTTTTTTATTACAAGTGGCAAGCCTAAGCTTGAACAAGGAAATTACATCTAGAAAAACTTAAACATAAGGAGAATATAATCCTTGGCACTAATTTATGTGAATTAATCGTTCTTGATCTTCTCGAATACACTCAACACATCCCCTAGGAATGGAGTGTACTAGAATTATCTTGGGAGCTCAACTATGCCCCTATTAATCGACATACTTAATGATATCCCTAGAAATGTAACATAAAGTCACATTTAGCTTGGTAAAGAAATAGTCGCTAGTTATGAAGATTAGCTCACATAGAGGGTAATCTAGTCTACTTTCTCTTATCAGTAGATTAAAAGCATTACTTGTAACATCTAGGAAAATTTAACCTCAGTTTATCAATCTAATAAGGGTAATTAGTGAGTTAATGAGGTGTGTGGCCAAAAGAGGCTTAACTTGGCATAAATTATTGTGATTTCAGCCTAAAAATGGGTCCGAATCGATGGCAGGCCACCCAGGCAAGGAATAAGGAAGGAAAGTGAAGCATTATTCTCTGTGCCACATGCCGCGATGCATGGTTGGTCTGCTGTGATGCACGGAGACAAATTTAAATGCAACGAGCTTCTTTGTGCCACACGCCTTGACAGAGAGCAACGTGCAGTGCGGCGCACGGGCAAAATTTCTATTAAATCAGATTACATCTATGTGAGAAAATAGAAGAAAAGGAGAAGAAGAAAAAGAAGAGAATGCTGGGCTCTGCTAGGGCGCGTATGTTAGTTTTCATTGTTGACATTCTGAAGCTCTTAAACACCCAAGATAGGTAATCTAAGCTTTATTCTTCCTTTCTCTCTCTCATTTATGATGATTTACGGTAGGGTTTGACTTGAAAGATGGATTTTCAGTTTATAGGAGTATGAGTCTGATTTCATTAGTTAAAATGAGTATAATGGGAGTTGTTTAATGTATTAGGGCACCAAATGGAAGTGGTTGGTCTATGGAAGTATTTATTATCTGAAAATTAATATTTATGAGGTAGTTGGGAGAAGTTTATGGGCATTAATGATGGTTTAAAGTGTTGTTAATGTTAATGTGCATTAATGGAATTTAATGAGCTTATTGGGTATGAATGGATAATGATTATGAGTTGATAAAAATAGGTGTGTCGAGTTTGATGTTGATTAAGCTTCAAGAGTTAGACAATGATGATATTCTTGTGACATGGATATAGAGAGGTTTATTTTTGGCCCCATTTGAACTTGTTGAAGCTTTGGGAAGTTTGTAATGAGGGGGCAAACCTTTGACCTCTCAAAGGTTTGAGATAATTGAAAAAAACTTAACTTTTATAGTTGAATATTAATTGTGTTTTATGAAATATGATGAATGATTGAAATGTATGATGCATGTTGGTAATGTTTGACTTGTGAAATGATTTTGAGAAAGAAAATATTAATTATGTCACTTACTTGTGATTTAAAAGTTTACTTGTGGCATGTTGTTACAAAAGTGGAGATTTGTGGTATATAATATGTTGAATGTGTGGAGTGATTTAAATGAGCATGTGAGATTGTTTGCCATGAATTTATTATTGAAATGCATAATATATGAGAAATGTGTATAACATGATCATTGGTGAAAGTTTGCTTAAGGAGAGGAGTAGATTGGTTGAA